AAAAACTATTGTTTTGTCGCTTTCCAAAGGATAGTTCAGTGGTTGATCTTGCTAGTGCAAAAGCAAGATCAACAAGGCGCTTCATTGTATCCTACGGGCATTTCGGGTTACTCCTTTTGCATACCAGATCTGGTGGGGGTGAAGGAAAGTGGCATTTGCAACACGCCTTGAAGCCATTTGCAGATTTTCTGCCCTATTTTTCCAACAAAGATTTCAAGGCTCCAAATATGGTTCTGAACAGGAAAAGAAAGGCAAAAATCATCAAGCTTTACCGGTTTCTCAAGTGGAAGAGGCGTCGGTGGCTGGGTTTGTTTTTGGGCTGCAGCGGGAAGAAAGGAGAAGAAGAGCAAAATCGGGCAAGGCTGGGAAGAAGAAAAAAAATCCTCCGATCCTTATCCAAAATCTTTTCCCTTTTTAAGTCCCTCAACTTAGAAAATTTTGCTATTAAGCCCCAACATAATATTTTCCCACAATTTAGTCCCTAACTCACTTATTTATTCTAGAAATTTTTGGGGGTATCACATCTACCCCATCTAGACTGGTGAATGGTTTCACACAATTCGATACAAAACAAATGCCCCACCGACTTCTGTGATTAGAACACGGCCTACTATGCTTTCGCTGCGCCACTCTGATATCAAATCACAACTTATCTTAGAAAGCAGAACATTAATTACTTATCCGGATTTACCATGAAACAAGTTACTGAGGCTGGGGTGATATGGGAAGCACAAGGAATAAAAATAAATCCTGCCAAAGCCACAAAAGAACAATTGTGGGGTTACGCTATGAACCCAACACAAGACGAGTTGGCAAAGAATGGCATGGAATTAAAGATGAGTACAACAAAATTTTGAACTCTATCAAAGACGGATAAGCATCCAATGGATATATGGATCATGAATGAATGAACAAGTGCATGGATGCCTTATAAATTCTGCCACAAAACAAGGTTAACCAATAAGCAAGGTCATGTTTAACAAAGCAACTGGAATCAAGAGACAGATTTTAGCAATTAACAAGAGTTAAAAGCTAAACCCATCAAATGACATGTGAAATTTCCAAAATAGCATTAGAATGAAATCAGTGGAAAATATGAATGCTTGGAAGAATACTGGAACATAAGAGTGCAAGGTAGAATGCCTCAAAAAATTCAGCAACAAAACGGCATTCACCAAGAATCAAGATCAAATTTAACCAAGCAGTCAAAATGGAGAGACAATAGTTAACCATGAAACAAGCAATAGAATTCAAGGATTAGGCCCACAAAGAGATTTCAATAATGACAACTAGAAAAAGGATTCAAGAGCAGATATAATCAGGATGTTAAGATCTAGCACCTCAAGTACTAGAATTAATTAACAGAACAAAACTCTAGGGCATCAGGTACTTCAAAGACTACCCCTTTACCTCGTAGCCCATGGAGGCTAAGCAGATTTACAATCAAGTCATCCTAGACATCCTAGAGTCACGTCAAAGTTAAGACATCAAGAATACAGAGATTAACACTTGCAAGAGATAGGAATTTAGGATGCCTCATATAGGTATTTCTTCACCCCTCCTAAGAGGTGTCCATATGAACAAAAATCAAAAATCAAGAAGATCAACAGATATACTAAAACAAGAACTAGCAGAATATGCAGGATTTGAGCAAAAGCAGTATATAGAATTTGAGCAAGAACCAGTGTCAGAACAAGAACGTTTTCAAGGACAACTCAAACTAGATTCCAAAAACCAAATATCAATTGATTTTCAAGAATAGATTCCAAGGACAATATCAGTCGATTTTCAAGAGTAGAATTCCAACAAGAATTAATTTCAAGCAAGGTTTACAAACCGATTCCAAGCACAATGCCAGAAACAGTTTCAAGAAATAGTTTCAGACAAGTATCAAGATAATGAGGATTTCAATAATCATTATCCATTTCCTTTGGATTTCAGTTTCAACAACAAGTACAAAGCAATCTCAAGAAAGATTCAAGACGGATTTTAGGAGTTTCAAGCAATTCTAAGTATTAAGAATGTAGAGATTGGCAAAAATAGAGAGTTTTTCGTTTAATAAAATTGACTGAAATAAAATTCTAAACCAATTTGACATGTCAAGTAACGATTCTGAAATTGAAAGAAGCATGGGAAATGAGCAAATGAGATTTCCTACATGTTTCAGTCAGTGTGCCTGACTGAAACAAGCATGGCAAATCTGAATTAGATTTGCCATGTTTCTTTCAATTTCAACTGAGCATGGCAAATCTGATTAATTTATTTAAAATTATAGATAATTATAATTGCTTGATTAGTAAAGCATTATTACAAATTTAATTGTTAAGTAAGCTATATGGTTAATTAAATTAATTAATTAATTAAATCAATTAACTGATTATAAAATTTTAATTATATTATTTAATTGATCAGTAAATAATGATCATATTAATTAATTGATTGATTTGTAAATTATGATTATTAAAGTAGATGTATTATTTTTTGTGTGCAGAGATGAATTTTTTAATATAAACTTAAGGAAATATTTCACATGATGGGAAATCGAGATTATCATTATTCAAGTTGATGTTTATATTAAAAGCATCTTTTATTATTATATATGAATTGACATGTATGAGATTAGGACATCGTGCTTTAATTAGTATTTTAAGTCATGACACTTTGATTATAATATTAGGTTATATTTTTATATTTATGTGTTTCTAGATAAAATTTTCAAATATATGTTTTAATATATGTTTAAAACATATTCCTAATTAATTGGTAAGATTTTTATATTATATTATTAAAAAAGAGGAAACTGATATATCATTCTGGAGAAAATTCAAAAAAAAATTCATCTTTAATTCAATCACGTGGCTTGACCGAACTAAGCTGCACAATAAAATAAAATAAAATAACCTTTTATCTTCCTGGAGACCCATATATCATTTCGAGAAAATTCAAAAAAAAAAAGTTCATCTTTAATTCGGTCAAGCTACTAGACCGAAATATGAAAAGAATTATTTCGACTTGACCGAAATAAGCTACCCAAAAAAAAAAAAAAAACCCCTTTATCTTTGCCAAAAATTTTGGGGAAAATTTTGAATCTCCCTCTACATATAATTCGGTCATGCATAATAACCGAATTGATGAAAAAACCCGCCTTGCCATTTGAATTTTTTTGCGAAAATGTTTGAATTTTTTGTTCTTTTATTTCGGTTAATAATACTGATCGAAATAACTACTAGCCTATATATATCTCACCCCAAACTCTTTTCCTCACTTTTGCAACTTCACTTTCATTTCTTTCTTCCTCTCCTATTCCCTTCCAATATATGTCTTTCTTCTCTAACTTCAATATTTTTCTTTACCTCTTATTTATTTAACTTTCAACAATTCTCTTCAAATTTTCCTAATTACTTCTTGATGTCTTCATCTCTTTTTTTTCATTGTCCATAAATACTCCTATATCTCTCCTTTATAGTATTTTATTTTCAAATTTTACTCATATTCTTCATATATTTTTCTTCAAAATTAATACTACCATCTGATTTGTAAATTTTAATTTTTTAATTATGTAAAATTATCTTTATTTTATGTAATCTTATGTTTTTGGTATTTTAATTACGTATTAATGATTTAAATTTTGATCATTTTTAGGGTGTTCCTTAAGTTGGTGAACATGATGAGGTAGCATTTTAGAGGTGATTTTATTACATTATTCAATATTTGTCCTCAAATTTTTATTATTTTATAGATTTTGTTAATTTATTTCCATATTTTCATTTAATTATATGTTTTAATTTATTTGTGCTTATATATATTAATTTGACTTATTTATGTATTTAAGTTGGTTTCTTGTTGCAAATGCTAGCATTTTTGGGTTCTTTTCATTTTTTTATATTTCTAGAAATATAACCATAATTGTAATTTAAAATTATAAAAGGCTAATAAATTAAATAAATAGGAATTGTATGTTAATGATGTTAAAATTTAATTTTTTTAATACCAAATTTTATTATAATATTTATCAACTAAATTAAAATTCGTTAAATAATTTTTTTTTGTTGATCTCCATTACCGAAATAGGATGACTGGAAGACCACGAATTCATGAATATTTTGGTCATTATAGTTGACCGAAATATGTTATTAAAATAATATTTAAGTATTTCGGTCAAATATATTGATCGAATATAAGTTTTTTTTATTGATATTTTTCAATTTTATTTTGGTCAAGCACCTTAACCGAAATGGTTTTTATTTCGGTTAAGATAAAATTCTCTCCGAAATTGTATTTCGTACAGAGCGTATTTGGTCCAACAATTCGGTCAAGATACTTGACCGAATTAATTGTTTTTTAGTCAATATTTGGTCTTTTTCGGTTAGTAATTCTTGACTGAATTTGTGCCTTTTTCTAGTAGTGTAGTTTATATAAGTTAGGGTCGGGCCTTGACTACTGAATGACATTTTCATGATTTTATATTTTCGATTTGAATTTTCTACCTTATAATGTGTTTGCACTGAGGAGAAGGGTAGGAAAAAAAATTCTTTATTTAATTATCAGAAAAATTAGAGGAGATCAAGGGATGGGAAGGGGAAAAAAGTTATTTATTTGAATATCAAAATAATAATAATAATAAAGGGGATGGGAGGAAAAAAATTTCCTTTACTTAATACTTTCTTTTAATTTATTAGTTACTTGTCTAAATGAGAGTGAGGAATGAAG